TTTTTTTTTTTTTTTTTTTTTTTTTTTTTTTTTTTTTTTTTTTTTTTTTTTTTTGAATGTTTTATAATATGATAATAAGAATAATATTTTTAAAAAAAAATTTAAATATTAATTAAACCTTTTTTTGTTAAATTTTATTTATAGATGTCAAGGAACATCTAGATCTTATTTATATTATATTTGGTTAAGATACAAAATTTAATAATTTTTTAATGTAATGTCCGACAAAATTGTATTTATGTCAACTAAAATATTAAGAATTTTCAACTTCTCTAATCTATTATTATTTAACTAAAATAAAATATATGTAAAATAAATAAGTATTCAAATATATATATATATATTACTAATTAATTATTTAGAGATCAAAATTCTCATCTACTTAAATTCGATGGACCACATGTTCATACGAACGTAAACATATAAAAATGTTAGTGGTTTTATATCAAATTTAATACTAACAAATGAATTATTATTAATAGTTGAAAGGAGATGAGAACCAGAGACAAGAATATTAATAAATGACTGGATTACATCGGATTACATGTCCGTCTCCAATTTAATATAAATATTAATAAATTTAGAAACATCATCGATTTTAAGAATAACCACTCTCTAGTTTTGCATGATCCTTCTCTAAATTAGTAGATATGGACGCGGACTTTCATCACTGAACACGGTCTCTCACAGGAATGGACATGGACTTTCATCATCAAATAACTGAACACGGTCTCTCTTCTCCCATAGTCACATGAACACGGTCTCTCTTCTCCCATAGTCACATAATCGGGCTCTGAGATTTCAAAAGGTCTCATTCGAATAGAGATAGTAAATACATGATTATTCTCTAAATTAGATACCTCAACTTTCATACTCAAATAACGGAACAGTAAGATTCTGAGTCACATGGTTTTCTGACAGACGCCGGCAGCCATCACCGCCGGCTAACAGCAAAGCTTTTAAGAAACATACAGATCTCATCTCACCAGATATAAGATTCCGATCTGTTTTCTTTAAAAAATTGCAGGCAGAACTGATTAAAAATTAGATGGATATGGAGGAAAATGTTCATAAGAAAGAATTTACGGCCACCACAGCGCCACTGCCTACGGCGGCTTAGCTTACCTACCACCCACCACAGTCAAACCAAAAAATTGATGGAGAAACTTTTTCAGGGGATACAAAATGACTAAAATGCCCTCAATGACAACGACGCTGAACCAATAAAAGCAACAAAAGCAAGAAGCTATGAAGGGCAATTTCGAATTTCAATATTTCATCCCACCAGAGCCCTGTCTCTCAGGGGCATTCATGTAAATTATAGTTCATCAAGCTTTACACAGTACACAGAAACATTTCACGCAAAACGAAATTTAAATGATAATAAAACCCTAGAAAATACAGATCTAAGTACTGAGTTCAGTCGCCGGAATCATCGTCGCCGCCGAAGATCGAAATCCGATTGTAGAGGAGGAAGAGAATGAGGACGAGGAAGAGAGCGACGCCGACGGGGGAACCAGTGACTCGGTGGATGGAGTCAGGCTCGCCGGAGGAGAAGATGGCGGAGACGAAGGAGCCGCGATCGGAGGAGAGGAACTGGATGGCGAGAAGGAGGAGGATGGGGAGGAGGAGGAGGCCGAAGGGGCTGAGGAGGTCGGAAATGGCTTCGGTAAGAGCCTCCCCGTCGCCGAGGAGGAAGGGGCCAACGATGACGATGGCGACGACCACCGCCAGTAAAACACCGTGGGGAGCTCCGCCTTGCCGTTCTTCAATCATTCTGGTTTCACTCTCAACCCGATTTTTTCTGCCTTTGTTTGAAATATTGAAAAGCAGTGAGAATTTGAAGCGTATGAGTTTAATTTTGCTTTAATACCATTACTGACCTGGACAGATAAAAAAAAATAAAAAAATAAAAAAAATAAAAAGGGTTTTTATCCGGTGTGGTCAACACCATTCCTTTTCAAATGTTTAAATATTATATGTTGTTCAAATTTTCATAATTATTTAAATTTGAATTTTTAATCTATTTTTTTATTATTGTATTCATATAATTTGTAAGTTTTTTTTTTAATTTAATTGAGTTTGAATTTTTAAAAAATTGAAAAATCAATTAAATTTAGATATAAACATATTTTTAAAATAATTAAAAAAAAAACAAAGCTAATGAACTAAAATTTAAAACTTATTTTAAAATAAGTTTTATAAAAAGAATAAATGATTTTTTATAATAACAATAAAGGAATAAAGTTGACAAAGGGTTAGTTTTGTATATTCGAGATACGAAATTAAAATTTTTTATTTCACCCTTGGGATGCTTCATTCTCGTCTCCACTCTGACCGACGTGAGATCTCACAATCCACCCACTTGGAGACTCAACATACTACAGACACACCAATTGGTATGAGACTCTGGTACCGTTTGTAACCACTCAAACCCACCGCTGATAGATATTGTTCGCTTTAGCGTGTTAGAACGCATCGGTTAGGGAGAGATTTCTACACCCTTATAAGGGTTGTCTTCATGAGAGAGACAACGTTAGCACCCGACCCACAATCGTGCGAGCTGATAAGTTATAGTTGTTTTTAATAGTTTGATCCTTAAACTTTGGTAAAAATAATAATTTAATCCTTAAACCTTAGTTTATAATAATTTTAATCTTAATATAAGGACTAAATTATTATATATATGAAAGTATTTTATATAGTTTAAGAGAACATAATATCACACAAACTTTATATTAGAGCACATAAATGTGGGCCTAAGGATTAGTAAATATAATTACTTAAAATCCTCAAATAATCCCACTTTGAAACAGCTACAAGAACACGAACAAGAACACGAACACGAACACAGACACATACAACGTTTATTTTTGACAACAGCAAACACAACAAACACAAGTCATAAGCAGTTTTATGTAGATGGCTGGAACATGAATCCCGTGGGGATGATGTTGGTTATACGGAGGAGTCCCTGAAATGTCATTCCGACCAAATTCAACGCCGAAACCAAATTCCCGACAGAGGGTAACGTTGCGTTGCAGCTCGACAGTGGCGTGTTCACTACAACGCTACAGTTGGAGGTGACTGAAGAGAGAAGGAGCTGTAAAGGATCTAACAGAATCGAAAACACTCCCGCGCTGTTTGTTGTTGCTGTCGACACGACGTTTCCATTTCCGCATTGCAGTTGCACGGCTGCATCTGCATGAAAAATATATACGCATATAAATAGTTTACCAATTTGAACATAGCTCAACTAGTTTGAAAATAACTTACTCGGAAAGGCAGGAGTGGCGGTGCCATTGGTGCCGATGTTGCCATTGGCAGTACAAAAGACAGTTCCTTGGATTCTGGCAAGGCTAAGAAGACTGCCAATGGACCCAAGCTGAGCTTCCACCACCATTAATGGAGCTCCCATGGCAGCAACCATCACGAAGACAAACAATACTGATTTCAAACCCATTTTTCTGTGCTTCCAAATTGTGACTCCTCCTCAGCCATTAAATAGACGGAGTAACCAATTTAAAATAATCATTTTTATTGTTTTTTTTTTTTCAATTCTTATATTTTAATTTTTAAATAACCAATTTTTCAAAAGGGTCCGTATGTAGTTGTATTTAGTCTATAGTAATGTTGAGCTATGTTAAGATGTTACAATTTTGTCATGTTTTTTTAATGATTATAGATAGATTCGTGTTTGTTTGTAAATTTTTAATTTCTTTTATCTAAGACTCTGTCTAATAAATAAATTTTTTAATTTTTTTTTAAGATGACAACCCGAAAATGAACGGTTGAGTTGGGTTCGGTTGAATTGTGAAAATTTTCGAGTTAGATTAGATTACCAATCCAACCAACTCGAATTTTTGGATTTGGTCAAAAAATAATCTTTAACTGACCCAACCCGAACCATCTACGCCCCTACGTAGAGGCAAGTTGGGGCAGATTTGTCTGACCTTTAGCGCCATGAAAATGAGGGATTGCGCATGCAGCGAGTGTCCCACGCTCTATAAGGTAGAAATTTGGCCCCAAAACGCTGATTTTGTTCCTTTTTGTTCTGAAAAGCCTATTTACCTAAGGGTCCATTGCCTAATCATCAAATTGCCCACCTGTTATCATTTTTCCACTCTCATTTCGATTCACGAGATCCGTCTCGTGAAATTATTCAACGAGATTCGTACAATAGATGTAACAGCTCAAGACAATCGCTAATAGATATTGTCCAATTTAATCCGTTATATATCTTCATCAGGTTAACGGTTTTTAAAACGCGTATGTTAGAGAAATGTTTTCATGTTCTTATAAGCTTCATTATCCTCTCTCCAACTAAGGTGAGATCTCACAATTCACCCCTTGAAACCCAGCGTCCTCGTTAGCACACAGGAATATCCAGCTCTGATATCATTTGTAATAGCCCAAGACAACCGCTAGTAAATATTGTTAGCTTTGGTCCGTTACGTATTGTCATCAGCCTCATGATTTCAAAACGAGTTTGCTAGGGAGAGGCATCTACTCCCTTATAAGGAATGCTTCGTTACCCTCTCTCAAATCGAGACGGGATCTCACAATTCACCTCTCTTGGAGCATAGCATCCTCGTTAGCACGTCACTCGGTATCGAGCTCTTATACCATTTGTAACATCTCGAGACCATTACTAACAGATATTGTCCGCTTTAGCTTGTTACGTATCGAGAGATTTCCATGTCCTTATATAAAATGATATAACTCACTATATAATATTTTTTAAAAATAAAAGAATTCTTAATAATTAATGACATTTAAGATTTTTATAACATTTTTTACACCACAAAATCTACTCATTTCATTTTAAAATATAAATTGTTAGTTTAATTTTTTAAAAAATGATAATAAAATTTGTATTATTATACCAATCTCTATCTTTATTAGGGTCCACGTTTATTAAAAAAAAAATCATTCTAATGTCAAAATTATTTATATTTCATTACAATTTACTGCTCAAATATAATTTATTTATCATCCATTATTTAATATTTTTTAAAAAAGTATTATTAAATAATATAAACAAATCTATTGGCCTACTAGTTAAATAGTTCAGAAAATAGTACGATTAATTCTACTTTAAAATCAAAACGAGCCTAGCTTATCAGTAATTGTCATTATCGCGTATTATAGATCAACAAATCAGAGGTTCGGACCCCTCAATTTCAAATATTATTGAGCTTGATAAATTCAAGAAACGAAAACGAAACGACGTAATTTTAAATAGTCGCTCAACTAAACCTAATATTTATGGACCAAAGCAAATAATAATAATATTTTAAAGGAAAAAAAAAAGTCAATGACAAAAAATTACACGAAAAATGTTAAGGATATGGATGACGGTGCATTATGTGTTGTACAATGGGCTAAATTAGGAAACAAAAAGACAAGAAAGCAGGCCTGGCCCAACTTTCAATGCCGATGGGCCCATCTGTACTCGTTGCTGTCTCTGGATTTGGCCCAATTACAGCCTCACGTTTTTTCCATTTTATTACGTCAGCAACAGTGCCCCAACTAACCTTACTCTAATAAAGCAATAATTTAATTATTATTATTGTTGGATAAATTTGAACATTTAATTCAAAAGATATATATATATATATATATATTTATTTATTTATTTTCTATAATTTAATTTAATTTAATTTAGTTGTAGTTTGGAATAAAATGAATAGTTTCTAACGACTTAATAATTGAATAAAAAAAATTTAAAAACCATAAAAGAAAATCTAAATTAATATTTTTTAAAAAAAAATTATAGATATGAAGTTGTAAAAAATGGTGGAAGAAAATTATAAAATTTAAAAAATTTAAAAAAAAGGAGAAAAAAAAATCGTTGACATAGAAGGAAGATGGGACAAGGGAAAGGAAGATCCCCATGTGCGGGGGTTGAATGATCCAACGGCTGATGTGACAAGTACGGGAGAGAGATGCACGGATAAGATCCTCTGCCAGTGCCACGTCGTTTCAGTCTGGCCCACCATATTGTTTACTAAACTCTAAAATAGACGTTAATCCAATCACATGATCCCACGTGTCCAGGTTGATTAAAATACATTTTTTTTTATTTAAATTCATTAATCTAGTCAAATAGTTGTTATAACGTTACATTTACAGCATTTATAAGTTGGGTTTGTGATGTTTGTATGTCTTTTTTTTAAGTAATTAATTATATCATTTTTTTTAGCTGGATCTAAGATTCTTTTTTAAATTAAAAAATAAAAATTTCAATTCAACTCAATAAAAAAAATTAACTCTCCATCAATATATCGATATCGATATGAATTTAGCTCTCATTTCTTAAAAATATAGCAAAAATTAGACAAAAACGCTAAATTGGTTTCAAATTTTTTTCTCCCCTAATTAGAAAATAAAACACAGGAAAAATTAAATAAAGCTGACTCTATTGTGTCACGGTCTATCGTTTTAAAAATTTATGATTTATTAGACATTTATTAAAGTTCGATCGACAAAACATACCTTAAAATATTTTATAAACTAAATTTATGGTTTAATATTTTTGTAAGTAAAAAAAAAAAAAAAAAGTGAGAAGTAACTTAAATCTCAAAGAAAGTAACATGTGGACCACGTATGGATCTACAATCAACATATTTTATTTTAGTTTTTTAATTTTCTAACATTTGAGAGTATATTAGATTTTAATAGAATTAAATAAAATTATAAATAACTATATGTATATATAATTATATTGTAGCTAAAAAATGATTTTCTTAAATTTATTTTATTTAAATTAAATAAAAAATCAAAATATTCCTGTAATTTATCTCTCGTATATTTTTTTGTTAGCCACGTTACTCGATTGATACAAATATTTTAGTTAATGTACAATGTCGTGACTAGTTAAACTGTATTCATATTTTTTTAAAATTCACCGATATTGGAAATGGAGGATTCAAACCTCCAGTATCTTAGTCGAGAAAATATATCTAAACTAGTTGAGTTACATTTATAGATGTTTGTTTAACTCATGGAGTTGAACCGTGTCGATGATCATATTTCTCGTTTCTAACCCTGAAGATTTAATTAATGGGTCCGTGAGAAGATAGTGGCATTATTTATGAAAGGATGTCAGAGGTGATGAATAGAAGAATACAAGAATATAATACAATACAAAGCCAAAGACAAGAAAAAGTGGGTCCGAGGAAAATACAATTAATTAATTAGGTCCGGAGGCGAGTGGACCAAACCGGACACTACGGTTGGGCCGTATATGTTCCCCTTTACTCATCACTCATGACTCGACTCGATCATATAAACTCCAAATTCAGTTCATTTTTCTCCCTCCAAACTCCCCTCTCCCCTCTATGCCCGGTCTCTTCTCCACCCTTTTGACATCTCAACCCCCCACCAACCTTTTTTCATTCATCATTGTTTGATCGACTCTATCTCGATACACGTCGTGTACCTTAAGATGGCTGGACGGGATGAACTGAGTACATATTGTAAGTTTGAATCTCCACCGTGCTTCGATTGTACCATCAATGTCTATATCGTGAACCTGAAAGCTGCTTGTGAGATTCCATATCAGTTGAAGAGGGTAACAGAGTATTTCTTATAAGAGTGTGAAAAACTCCTTCTAATTGACGTGTTTTAAAATTGTGAAGCTAACAACGGTACGTGGGCAAAAATGAGGGCTTAGGTTGTTACAAATGATATGGGAGTTAGACACTGGACGGTGTGCCAATGAAGATGCTAGGTTCCCAAGGGAGGTAGATTGTGAGATCCCACCTCGGTTTGAGATAGGAATGAAATATTACTAATAAGGACATGAAAACTTCTTCCTAATAAATGCGTTTTGAAACTACGAGACTGATGACAATACGTAACGAGACAAAGTGGACAATATCTAAGATCCCACTTTGATTGTAGAGGGGAATGAAGCAAAACCTCCTCCTGGTGAATGCTTTTAAAACTGTGAGGTTGACGGCAATACGTAACGAGTCAAAGTGAACAATATTTACTAACGAAGGACTGAATTGTTACCTCAGACACAATATTTCCTAGGAATATTACAAATTGATATTATTGTTTGGTTGGAAATTAAAATTAAAATTCCAAAACATGTCATGTCTCCTTTTACAAGAGTTAAATATATGTTATTGAAGACATACTTATGTCTTTTTTTGAATTTCCTTTTTCTTTTTAATTTTCAATATTATTTTATATATTATATATCTCAACAAAATTTGATGTGCCAAATTTATTATTTTCTTATATTTATTTCTCATGTGTTGTCAAATATGTATCCATAAATTCTTATTAAAAACATCATGACCACATAAATATATCAATTTAATGAACAAAACAACAAATTAAACTAATTATGACATCATAAATGTTTTGGTCTTTTTTTTTATTAGACTATATTAAGAGATAGTCTAGTTATAACAACCGTAGCAGATATTGTTGTCTATGTAATTTCGCCTTTCTGGTTTAGCTAACCG